CTGCTTATTAGAGATATCCACTAAGTACAGGTTTGTTTTTCTTAAATTATGGAAAGAAACGTTTTGCCACATTTTGAGCTATTCGACTGCTGAATACAGGGTGTCTGCTTAATATGGGGTCTGCATAATACAGGTTTCACCATACAATGAAGAAAATGAGTTAAGTAGGCTTTCACTGAGGAGGGGAGGTACAAGAAATAAGACATAATTATAAACAAGAAGCTATACATAGCTTGAACTTATTGCAATAGTTTATATTCTTAACACTTTTGAGTGCTTTCTACGGAGAAAAAAATAAAAGACTACATTCAGCAGCCGACACCTAACACCATGAGTGTTTACTAAAGTAGACAAAACTTGCTGGATCAATAAGTGGCAAACACAACATCAAAAGGTCCTGTGCATCCAAACCCTTACATTTATTATGCATGCAGCAAGCTTATATTATTTAACACACATAACAAATGTTTGGGGTTGTATGGAAATCTTACCTATACATTGTGGTGCAAGATCTGTAAAGGTTAATTATAACATAGCTAGAAAATTCGCCTAATCAAATTCAATAGCGCGAGCGTGCTTCATATTCCTATTGAGCACGCTGATGACGTCAATAAACTATTCGTAATTCCTCGAGTTGTTGGGAGCTTAGCAATCCTGAGTCTCCCGAGTGCATCCATAACTCAGCAATAGACAATGAAGCGTTTACCATGTGTTTTATAAGGAAATTTAAGAGGAAAGGTTTGAATTTGTTAACCGATAGTAAGGAAAAGAGGTGAGTGTTGTTGTTGTTGTTGTCATCTCGGCGAGCTGTGCGGGCTATGGCGTGAGATCATTCTTTGCAAAGTTGTTTTCTCTCAATAACAATTTTTCGGTAAATTAAAAGTTTTCCGGCACCTAAATATGGATTTTGCAATCATTTTAGAGAACACTTTCTCTCAGTTTCAGGATAAAAACATAAGATTAACTGTGAGGAAAAAAAATATAGTCACGTAATCATTAACGCGTACTGCTTAAAATTTTCAGTTAACTGCTGCATTGATCGCTTTGATAATGTTATAAAACAATTAGTTCATGCTGCAGCTGTGCGTATGTCGAGATATTGAGCACTTGGGAAGTTTGGAGAGCACTCAAAAGGCTAGAGTTGCACTCGGCTGCGCCTCGTGCAACTCTTACGCCTCTTTCGTGCTCTCCAAACTTCCCGCGTGCTCAATATCTCGACATACGCACGCTGCCGCATGAACTAATTGTTAATTATTACAGATGTATGAGGAAAATATGAGGCTTGGTAAAACCACATAAAGTAAACAAACTCCAGATGAGATTATCATACTGTCGTATTTATTTCAACATCGTTTGTAACATGAAAACACAAATAAAGTTTTTACAAGCAAAAATCGGTTTCAGGATACACACTCAGTGATCTTTTGTAGTGTTTTAGCCTCGCGAGTAAATAATTCGTGAGCTCGTTGTTTTGCCAATTTTTTTAGAGTAAGAACCTTTCAGAATTCGGCAAAATCCTAGGGTCCACTCTTTTGAAGGTATGAAAAGACTTTCAATATTTCTTGCTCGATGGAATGCTGACAATTACAGTTTAATCAAGTAGAAGGGGTGTGTGAACTCAACATTTCCTTTAAAGACAAATTTTCCCCCGAAATCAACTTACGAGTAAAAAAAATGAAAGCAAATCTTAACGAAAGCTCGAGATTTCAATTAAACAGGACAGAGAAAACTACAGAGAAACGGCTCCTTACCTCAAGCAACCGGGCCACCATTGTCTGCACTTACAAAGAACAGGACAAAAAACCTTTTTCCTCTAACTTGGCGAGTCGACAGATGAAAAGAAAGCTCTACTTTTCTTCTTAGGCTTGAAAGTACAATTTAAACTTCTGGCGATTCCATATAACCCATTAGGATATTGTTTCCGATTTGATTTGCAATGTTTGAAAATTCTGTAAAGATCAAACCTATTGTTTACCGATTTCCACGCATGATTTGATCCGTCAATCAAATTGAGCTTTTTGGTTTCTTTACTGATTTAGGAACATTAACCTCCCCTTCTATTAGCCTGGGCCCAGTTGTTCGAAGGCCGATTAGTGCTTCACCCAGGGTTAAATTTAACCGAGGTTTCTTTTTCTTAAGATCAAAAGCATTTTCTCGGGAAATTTTCTCTGTAATTTTTAGAACTTCCAATCATCAACTTGTGGACAAAAAGAATTAAAACTAAAATGCTTTTTAAGCTTTCAAATCTGAATTCAAATCTCGCACTAACCCTGGGTTATCTTAACCCAGCTTTGAACAACTGAGCCCTGGTGTTCAATAAAGCATGGATAAAGAATTGCCAATTGTCCAATGTGAAGTGCGAACGAAATATCAGTCAAGCTGGAAAAGGTGTGTTCCACAACATTCCCGGTCATGTCCGTGACAAAAATACTGGAAACCTTTATACGTTCTTTTCCTTCCTCTTTCAATAGAAAATACGTCCACATGGTTGCTTGTACGGTCGTCTTTGTAGGACCCGCGCATTTTGTCTTCAACGCTTATCCGGGCCGCAATGCTACTTGTCCTCTTTCCAGCTGTTCAAACAAAAACGATGGTCACGCGGTCGCTTTAACTGATTTCTACCGTTGCTTGTAAAGGACCCTTTTGTGTAGAAGTTTTAAGCAGTTTCTATGGTAGGTTCTTTGTTGAAGAAGGCCAATTTATCAACTCCACATCGTCCTTCCACTTGTGCAGCCATTTTTTTTATTTGTTGACGCCGCCTCGCTTTGGCGCGGTGAAATCGTGAAAGCGAGTCTTCCGGAAGTCAACCAGTTTACCGGAAACTGTTTCCGCGTGGTCTGCATAGTTCTAAAAATAACTTTTTTGAAATTAAGATATCCCGGCCAAAGCCCTGAGTGTCCCTCTCTGTCCTATTATGGCTCTTGATGGCGGTTAATTCTTAACTTAACAATAATGTGGAAGGTAAACAATTTTATTTTAGTTTTGGTTCTTTTTCAACTCAACGAAGATTAAATTTAGACCTAAAGTCGCGACAACTTGGTTTTTCCTGAAACTCAAGCAATAAGTTAGTTAAACATTGTACTAAAACATATGTAAGAACTGGCTTGGGTAATTTCATTTGGGCTTCAGACGAACCTTCTGAACTTGAATAAATTTTGAGTGAAATATGACACGTTTGCATAATTCACCAACGCCTTGCTGTTGCCGAAAGGGATCATTGGCATTTCCTGAGAAGAAACCTGATGTACTTCTATAGTACGATAACTTATTTGCTAACATGAAATAGAAATTAACTTACCTTTATAGTTTGTTATTTGCTGCAGTTCTAAGAATAGCAGCAAATTATTGTTTTCACGGTTCCAGCTTATTGACAGCTGTAACGGAGACTCATGTATAAAGGGGCGGGATTTTACTGAGGTGATCATTCTAAGCTGACATCGCTGCCTGAGTTTCGTTTGTCAATGCTTTTTTCGCTTTTCTCGATCTTTATCGCCGTAATTTTTTTGGATTCGAAGCTCAGCAGTCACATTTCTCTTCGGTGCTTTACACCGAACATGGATCCTACAATCCAAGCCGAACTGGAACGGCAACAATCAACAATGCTGGAAAAACTCTCGTCCATCATGGACGACAAGTTGGAATCTATGAAGAGACAGCTTGAGGAGTCTTCAAACTCGCAAATGAGCGAACTAAAGAAAATACGCCTCACTGAATCTCGCATTTTTAAGAAGAAAGGACACAAACAACAGTATAAGCATAACGAACAAGTGAAGTCTGCGGTGAACGAGGCCAAGGACGCCGTTGTGGCGGGAAAGAACGAGGCATGCATTGCCAAGCTTAACGAAGGTATTGAACTTATCGATCAGCGCCAAAAGCTAATTCTCATAGCAGACAAATCTGACTACGACTGGAAAACTGTTGGGGAATACCTTGATAAAGACCTCGCCGACGATGATCAGGACGCCAAGAAAATGAAGAAAGCAGAAAAAGAAGCGCAACGTAAAACAGCCGAATCTCGCGCCGCCAAAGCCACGAAGGCTCGCACCTGGTTCAGGAATCCTAGATCACCGGGAGACACAATTGCAAACACATCGCCGTCACCCAGCCCTTTCTCTCTATCCGCAGGAAACTATTCTCCCCGTTTTTCTTCTTCCACGGGAGGTCCAAGAGGCATAGGCCCATTTCCATTTTCAAGTGGGACGGCTCCAAAACCCAGCACATGCTTTAGTTGCGGTATCCCAGGTCATTGGCGGAATGAATGTCCTTTGTTGGCGGTTGCCGGAGTACAAGAAGGAAAGAATTTAAGTGCTAATTTTTATGACCTATATGATGTAGAACCCGTGTCAGGGAATTTCGAATTTTCAGAGTTTTTCGATGATCCCATAGATTCGTGTTTTTTTACAACACCCGCGAAAGGAGATTTTTCCGAGCTGGAATGTTGTAAAGAAAGTGTCAGCGGGAGGCTAAAATCTCATTTTTTAGCATGGGAGGAAATAGGGTCCCCTAGCTCGGTACTGGGTGTTATTACAGAGGGTTACAAATTACCACTGATAACTATTCCTAAGTCATGCATTTAAGCACTATCTATGGCGGATTTGTTATTCGCCAAAATTTTGGCGAATAACAAATCCGCCATAGATAGTGCTTGTTTTGTCACCAAGGCTCTAGAGGATCTTATAGCTGCCAATTGTATTTCAATTGTCCACAGTCCACCATGGGTAGTGAACCCTTTAACTGTGTCCGTACGGGCCGAGGGGAAGAAACGCCTTGTGCTCGACTTAAGACACGTAAACCCTCATCTTTTCAAGTACAAATTCAAATGCGAAGACATCAGTACTGCTCAACAACTGTTAGGGGAAGGATATTGCTTGTATACATTCGACATCAAAAGTGCTTATCATCATGTTGAAATTTTTGACAGCCATAGGACCTACCTTGGGTTCCAATGGCCATATCAGGGCAAACCAACTTATTTTGTTTTTAACGTACTACCATTCGGTATGTCTACCGCACCTTACATATTCACCAAGGTGTTGAAACCTGTAATTAATTATTGGAGAAGCACAGGCAGGAGAATTTGCATGTTTTTGGACGACGGCCTAGGTGGCAATTCTTGTAAGGAGTCTGTCTCCACGGATTCCATAGCAGTAAGAGCAGATCTTGCCAAATTAGGCTTCCTTCTTAGTGTAGACAAGTGTGTTTGGGACCCATCCCTTATTCAGACTTGGTTAGGTTATATTCTTAATATTTCTGAAAATCGCTTGTATGTAACTGACACCAGGGTGTCCAATCTCAGGGAATCCATTTCATCTGTTCTCGCAGACCTTCACAAGGTTACGGCCAGACGCTTAGCCGAAGTTACAGGTCGCATAATATCTATGCACAAAGCAATTGGTTCCTCTGTATATTTGTACACTAGGCCAATGTACCTGGTCATAGAAACTAGGGACTCTTGGGATTCTTTCATTTCCTGCTCCCCAAGGGTGATAAATGAGCTTCAGTTTTGGCACAATAATGTGAGTCAGCTGAATGGTAGAGACCTTTTTGACAAAACCCAAGTCTTTGATTCCGTTGTTTATTCAGACGCTTCCCAACTTGGGTATGGAGGTTATGTCATTTCCGACAAGCAAAATTTAGTATGCCAGGGACAGTGGTCCCTTGATGAAAAAAGTAAGGGTTCTACCTGGTAAGAGCTCAGAGCTGTTTATTATATGTTATCATCCGTTGGACACATCCTCACAGGACACAAAGTACAGTGGTACACTGACAATCAAAACGTGACGCGCATAATCAATAGAGGCAGTACTAAACCTGACCTCCAAACATTGGCTGAAGAAATTGTAAATTTGTGCAACAATCACAGAGTTTCAGTCATCCCAGTCTGGGTCCCACGGGATAACAACCAACTTGCTGATTATCTCAGCAAACTCACCGATGTCGATGATTGGGGCATACATTCAGATATCTTTCAGTGGCTTAACACCTTGTGGGGTCCTTTCACAGTTGATAGGTTTGCCACATGGTACGACACTAAATGCATTAGGTTCAATTCCCGCTTCTGGAACCCAGGGTCTGAAGGCGTTGATGCCTTTATTCAAAATTGGCAGGGAGAAAATAATTGGGTGGTACCCCCTCCGAGCCAAATAATCAGGGCATGGCGTCCCTTTGAGTTGTGCCAAGCTAAGGGAGTACATAATACCCCTTTGGAAAGGGGCTTCGCTCTGGCCCTGCATTTGCCCAGATGGCACCCACCTTTCTAAGTGAGTGATTGACTGGGTTGGAGTACCTGAATTCCATTTAGCTGCTGCGACTAAGGGCAGGTCTTACAATTCTTTGTTTCATAGTGAAAAGCTGGAGTTTAAACTTATAGCATTGTATGTTAATTGGCAGTCTGTGCGCAAAGGCCACAATAATAGGGGGTTTTGTTTGTCAGCGAAAGGTTTGTGTGAACACTGTACCAAAGGTTAAGCTAATATTGATATATATACATAGTATTTCGGCAGGTACTCGTACAGCAATAAGCCCACAGGTGGGTCTTCCTTGCTCACAGGTGGCTTTCTTGCCCACAGGTGGCATTTTCTTACCCACAGGTGGCAATTAAAGAACATACAATTTTATGTTACCCCTCTTCATAGGAAAGGTACCACTTGTTTACAGGTGGCATTGAATTTAGGAGTCCATGGATGACATCACACCAAGTTGAGAGATGATACATTATATATTAATATGCTTTAAGCTATCGGTAGCGCTATTTTAACATCATTGTAACCGCTTATAGTTTTACAGAAATATGTAATGCTATATCACATCACACACAGTCTATTTTCTTTCTTACAGGTCTAAATATATTCAGCCAAGGTCCAAGGAAAGAAATTCAAGACCGTTTGAAATCCTGTCATGGAGAAGTTACTTCTGTTGAATTATTTAAAGGGTTGCAGCAAACAGCCCTTTCATCCAAAGCCTGTGGAACAGTAGTTAATTATACAAGTTCTTTAAATCGTTGGGTTAATTAAGTTTGCTAATACTAACAAGTTAGTTGTGTTCCCTGTCTCCGTGGCTGATGCAGCTCTGTATTTTAGCCACTTGGCCACCTCTCAGGTATCAGCCTCTGTGATTGAATCTAGTTATTGTGCTTTAAAATGGGCTCATGATTTTGCGGGGGTCCCCAATCCTATGAGTAGCACCTTTGTCAAAAATATGGTGGAAGGGGCCAAGCGTCAAAACGCCAAACCCACTTCGAAGAAATCTCCCATTTCAAAGGAGGCCCTCACTGAGTGTTGTATTAAACATGCACATTCCGATGAATTGCCTATACGTAGGGACATTTCTATGGCCTTACTGTTATTTGCAGGGTTCTTCCGTTTCAGTGAACTAGCAAACCTTACTACCGGTGACATTAGCATAATCGACACTCATTTAACCATCAAAGTGTCCCATAGTAAGACTGATCAATATCGTAAGGGGAATGAAATGGTGATCAGTAGATCCGGCAAGGTTACCTGTCCTGTGTCAAATCTAGAAAGGTACATGAAATTAACAGGCATCAGTACATCTAAGGTTTCAGATTTTTTGTTCAAACCTATAGTCAAAGTCAGATCCGGATATAAAGTTATAGACAAAGTAAAACCTCTCAGTTATACCCACGCTAGGGAATCCCTAGTTAAGCTGTTGCGCGAATTTGTGCCCAACACGGCCAACATAAGCCTGCACTCCTTCAGATCAGGCGGAGCTACTACAGCAGCCAATGCACAAGTCTTAGATGCTGGAAACGCCACGGTAGATGGCGTTCAGAGACCACTAAGGACGGTTTTGTAGAAGATTCTCTTGATAATCGCTTAATAGTTACCAAATCTCTGGGAATTTGATTTTAGTTACATTTTCACTCCCGTTCTTTGTATTTCTATCCAGTGCAGCCGTCAGTTTTCCTATTTAACACGGAATGATTTCATTGTTTTCACTGTTCACCGTTTCAACAATAGGGAATAGGGAAAACTTGTTATTTGCTGCGGTTCTAAGAATAGCAGCAAATTATTGTTTTCACGGTTCCAGCTTATTTACAGCTGTCACGGAGACTCATGTATAAAGGGGCGGGATTTTACTGAGGTGATCATTCTAAGCTGACATCGCTGCCTGAGTTTCGTTTGTCAATGCTTTTTTCTTTTTTGTGTAATTTGAATTTATTGCCGTTGTTGGTTAATGTACTGAATGTACTCATAATTCTGTATTCTAGTTCAACCTCTCTCCCTCGAGGTTCATGTTAAGTGTCTGGCTCTGCTTTCGGGAGGGTTCAGGTTTCCTCCTCAGTGAAGGGGGTTTTTCCTGACGGGCAGCAGACACGATATCATCTTTACTATTGATCAAAGAACTTTACTTGGAACTTGTTACATTTTTATACTTCAGTGCCTTTGCAGTAGCTAAGTGTTTGTGTTTGTATGAATAAACGGGGACTGATGTTCGCATTATGCTGGGCTTCTATCCAGTGCAGCAGTCAGTTTTCCTATTTAACACGGAATGATTTCATTGTTTTCACTGTTCACCGTTTCAACAATAGGGAATAGGGAAAACTTGGGCCCTTTTTTTACTTTTTCTACTCTCGAGCTCCAAAATTCTGCTGGCGCTAATGCATTTCGTAATTTGACCGCTAACGACAGGTCATTGGAGATGGGCCAGGTTATTAAAATGTCACGCAAACCGAATGAGCGTTATGATCTGAATTCTTAAGGTGGTTTAACAAAATATATCACGAGAAAAATATGTTTTTAAGACATTTTCGGTGATTTGAAAGATGTTCTTACCAATACATAGAATCAGTTACAACATACAGTGAGGAATGTGAGAAAACAAGGAGTGGTGATGCGTGACACCGAACACCATCATTCGAACTAAGAATGAGCAGTCTACAACAAAATTGTTTATACATTTCTTTGATGTTTTCAAAGTTATTTGTTCAATTATACAACAACTGAAAGGCTGCATAGTCTGGCTCCCACCATTACTTTATTTAGAAGTGTAAAGTGGTGGTCAGTTTTTCGGACACCTGCGCGTGTGATAAAAGCATTGACTATGAGGAATTTAGAAAACATCAAAATCATACACCCTTCCAATACACACGAACATTGAGTAGGTTTTAAACTTTGGACAACCTCGATAAATGATCTCGGAAGCGTTTTTTGTTTTTGAGCGAAGAATCACAATAAAAAAAATCATGTTATTTCATATGCATATCTTAAGGGTGGCTCTGAATCTTACTTGGGTACTACCTAGTAAGACTCCATGAGGAGAGGTCGTTGAGGGGATAGAAGAATCCGTCGAAAGGGTTACGCTGTAACTCTTGGTCAAGGATGTTAGGTAAGCAATTCGCTCTAAACCCTGTCTCCCCCTTTTCAAATGCTTGCACAAGCAAACCAACATTAAAAAACTTGCATTAGCACACGCAACTAAGAAAATATCGCAAAGTAATTGGGGAAATGCTATCCAGGCAGGGCGGCCTTGTGGAGTGGTAGATGACGTAGCGCTATTTTCAAGTCTACAAACCTCTCCTTGAGTGTGAAGACTTAAGGCATGAGGTTCAGTTTTTAGTATCGAATATATACAGAGAAGGAAACCTGGCGTTTAGAACGCTGACCTGTTCCTCTCTCATTCCTTTACCAAAGGATACGTCAACATTGAAAACCCTTTTAGGTTATCTAAATTACTAAGTTCTTTGCGGCGCCATATAATTATCACTAGTGCTTCAATACTATTTTTTCGAGAACTTTGAAATTTTTTCTGATTCCTTTTCTATTACAATTTCGTATTCGGAAATAATGAACTGGTGACATATATCCCCAAATATACTTCCATAAAGCGTTGCCTTAAGCTCTTTAGTAGTTTCCCCAACTAAGATAATGTCAACTCCATTATTGCGGACACCCAGGACTCTTGTTCTTTTCCCTTTAACCCTCAAAATCTCCAAATAAATTCTCCAAACTGATCTCCTTACATTTTTTACCTTGAAGTACCGGTTGAGAGAACTTGTTAAGAACATTTTCCCAGAGCTAATTATTTTATTTTTCTTTCTCATAATCTTTCCTCTTGATTATGAATTGATATCGTTCAGAGAAAATTGATGTTGGTCAGTCTCTGGGGCTATTAAGGTGATGTTACACGGGACGATTCACAAGGACGATTTTTAGCGCAACACAGCGTTGCAATGCTGGAACAATGTTGCAACCATTCGAAACAATGTCGCAACGCTGTGTTACACTGTGATCGTCGTTGCGAATCGTCTCTTGTAACATCACCTTAAGGGGATAAAGAGAAGCGTCCATTATATGTAGGGCAATGAAAGAAAGGTCTTGAAATTGCATCTTTTGCACATCAAATTACTGGACATAATGGATTTATCTTTTTTAAAACGTCAGAGAGATAAGAAGGTCAATCGTAAGAAGTGGAGAAGAAGGCATTGAAATTGATAGCAAAAAAGTGTTTAAAGGTCAAATGAACCAAAAATATTGACATATTTTCTTTAGTCGCTTTACCTTCACCAAACACTAAAAAGAACCATCCTAAGTGAGATTTGGGTTAAGATTATTCTTCTCAAGCCTTTAAAGAAAGGTAAAAGATCAAAATCCGAGCATTTCCGAAAACTTCACGAAAACGTTTCTGAAATGGCCGCGTGATAGACTGGAGACTAGGTGACGTCAATGTTGGTCTTTCAGGGTGGAAAAACGTTCTGCGCAAGCTTCTGCGCAGCCCTTATCGCCTGCGTTTGTTTGTCTATAACCCGAGATCAGGCGTCTTTTTTTTTTTTTGGCTTCTTTATTTCTTTGCCTCTTCCCGTGAGAGACATAAAGGGATGATAGGAAGAGGGCATGATCTCAGGCTAGTTTGTCTAGTTCTGTGAGGGTTCTGACTGAGACTGAATGAAATACACGAGGTGCGAACGTTTGCTCCTTGTAAAGGCTTTTGTTGTTGTTGTTGTTGTTGTTATTGTTTTTTCGTCACTTGAAAATTACTTTGGATTCAGAACAACCAATGTTAGAGTAAAAACAGATCATCCGTCAGTCTGAGGAGGAATAAAACGTTTTGAACATTTCCAAAGAGGTTTGTATTTTTCTGATAATTGTGCATTCGATTTATGAATTGATTTTTTGTCCAGTGCTTCCCCTTCTTTCGCCGGACTGAATTAAAACCCCGTTTGTATTCTGTTATTAGTAGTTACGGTTAGTTTTTTTAAATGCCCAGATTTATTTACCTTTGCAGAACCAGCTTTATCCTTGTCTTATGTCAAAGAACCGTAATGCTAACGCTTGCGAGTGAACAAACTTGAGCGCTTAAAACTTCCTCGGAACTTTAAAAGGCCAGCATGCAAGCTTATTCGAGAAGAAAAGACTACTTCGATCATTCTTCTGTTGTTCAAGTAATAGTAGTCAGAGTTTTTTTCCTTTAGTTTTTTCAGTTTTAATTACATAGTTTTGTTATCTTTCTGTACGCAAATTTTCCTTTCTCTCGCTGTGAAGTAGCGGAGAACGACAACTGCCGGCAGTGACTCCAAAACAATCGACTCTTTGCCCGTCAGAAACAATTCCTGGAGCTGGATTTGACTGAAGCGAGCAAAACAAATCCTTATGTGCAGTTTTCTGTATTTTCTAATGATTAAGTTTGCTGAGTTTAATTTGCTTGAATGAAGACCCTAGCATGGACCAGTTATTACTAAAAAAAGGAGCTTATTTAGCTAAGTAGTCGGAATCATGGCTTGGCTGCGACGCTTGCAACTGATCTTTTTCCTTTAAGATCTTTAGGTAGGTTGTTTCCGTACAGAAAATTCACTTCTTGTTTGTCATCAGGTATAAGAGCCTTAAGCCTTATGTTTTTTTAATGAAAATTTGTTGTTTTGCAACCTTATTGAAGCTTTTTTTAGTTCACTTAAGCTGAATTTTATGCATGATGGAATTGTTCTTTGCTTGTCGCATCTCTTTGCCAGCTTAAAGTAGCGTCTATGGTCCTTAAAGTGACCTCAATCGGTAATTAAATCTTATACATAATTGGAAAGAAGTTTTCGCAATAATGTAACTTAAGTTTTGTTTGAAGGAAATCTTACTAACGCGTAGGTTTTTAACAGGTGTTGTGCATGTTCAACTTGACAACACAAAGCAAAATTAATCTGCACAAAACGATCAAGTTTAGAAAACTATGGTTGCTTTGAAACCGATCTTGGGGAAGATTTACTAGATAAAGATTAACTCTTTTTCTGCCCACATATCAACGCCAAAACTTCTACATTGAGGATTTTGTTTACATTTTAGTGATCTGCGAAGCTAGAAGTGTCCGATCGAGCGTGGGTTTTAAAATATCAGCTCGAGAGCGACAAAGTTCAGTGACTTCAAACAAATTGTGGGCAAACTTGAATTTCTTTGAGCAGATTACTATACAAAGATATTTTGTTTTTGTGTCCACGGTGGAGCTCCGGACCTTATATATCCAGGAATTTTCTTATATGAACACATTTTGTGAATGCATCTTGAAAAAATCGGACTTACGCACGCACATTTCCAGTACAACTCAGGAAATTAGTAAATATATGTCGTTAAAGTCAGTTTTATTATGATGTATTCTTCGAGAAAATTAAATAACAAGAAGGTTATAACCACAGATTGCAACTTTTGAAG